AACTCCATCAGAGGAGGAAGTTTCACCTTCCCATGCCATTGAGAGTTCAGACTCTCACCACTCCTCCACCTGAAGTAAGGTACACCACACCAACCATTGTAAATACCACTCATTTTTTTTTATTAATTGCGATTGTTTGCTTGATGTTTGTGAACACTCTCCTTAGCATTTTTATTACACAGGCACTGTGTAATTTAAGTGTGGGGGAGGGTGTATGATGGACTAATGCTTGCATTTGCATTTGTATAGTAGAATAGGAACCATGCATCATGATTTCATAGCATCTAAGGCACAGAAAACACAAAAAAAAAATTGAAAATTTTCAAAAATTGCTTCACAGAAAGAGTTTGATTTTCATGCATTCTTATAGGATTTAGACTTCATGCATTCATATAGGACTAGCTTGCTTGTTTAAATTGGGAACTATGATAGTACATCTTTGTTAATGCTAGTGGTTTATGAAAATGAAGCTCTTGTTTTTAATCCTTTGGTGCATTTGATGTTGAACTAGAAATAAAGCTGAACCACTTTTGGAATTTGCATTTGTGTGAGCTTTGTTTGAGACTGAAGCATGCTTTGAAATGATTTCGACCTTTGTTTAAGTGGAACCTAATTTGAATTCGCAATTATCATGCCTTATGCTTTTGTGATTGATGCCATGGATAGTTTAAAATATTTGGATCTTCTTATTCTCTTTTGCCATTGTCTAAAAGATCCATTTAGATTTCTCCACCCTTAACTAAACCTTCTTTCAAACCAAGACATTAATAGTGTGTGATTTGTGAAGCTTCTTCCATCATGGTTGTTGCTTAGCAAAAAGTGTTGGGTTGGAACTATAAGGGAAGTAATTCCAATGTAGAACTAGCTCACTCTTGAGTTAGATAGGCTAGGATGTTTGGGAAATGGTTTGGGTTTATCTAGGGATTAGTCTTTAAGAGAAACAAAGAGGAAAAGAAGTCAAGGCACAAAAGAAAAAAGGAGTGTGACACAAGCAAAAGGGTGGAAATGGCGATTCTAAACTCAAAGAAGGAAGGCTCATGTTCAAAAAAAAAAAAAAAAAAAAAAAAAAAGATGCAAGAAGTGCAAACACAATAAAGTCAAAAAGCCAAAGGCGAATCAAGCACCAGCATCACCAAATAAAGGAGCCAAGTTTAAAAGAAGCAAATCGCCACCACTTGAAGTTCAAAAGAAGAAGTGTCCTCCAAAGCGCTTGAAGAAGAAACTTTTTGAGGTTTTTTAAAAGGGTTTAAGTTCTTAAAAAGGGTAGCATATGAGGGTTTTACACTGATAGGCTAGAGTTAGGAATACATCTTATAGATCTTGGGTAGATGGGAGTCTTCTTTTGTATGTGTAAGTTGTTCTTTGACCCTTAGCATTTTGTCAAAGCACAACCATGCTCTTCCTTGAGAGAACCCTTTAAACACCAAAACCAGTTTGTGAAGTGGGATCATTTTTATTCCACTAAGTCTTGTCCCTTAGCCAAATGACACTTTCGCATTTGCATAAGCATGATTCAGGGTTTGAGCATAATTGAATGTTAAAAAAATTGTTTGATTTGATGAGCATGTGTAGGTTGATAATTTTGTGATCATTCTTGTTTTGTGATGAAAGTGGCTAAGTATTTAAAATACTCTTCCATAAAGTGCACTCTAGAATTGAGAACATGGACTTCATTTTTATTTATTGTTAGCATTTTCAAGGATATAAATTCCCATTTAAAACCTCATCACCATGTTAAGTGTTTGTTTGCTTGAGGGCAAGCAAAAGCTAAGTGTGGGGGTGTTGATAGCTTGCTATTTTAGATCATTTTAGTCTGCATTTCATGCATCTTTTCCTCTGTTTTTGCATTATATTTTTGCGTTTTAGAAACATTTGCACTTAGAATCAACATGGCATGCATTTAGCTTAGGATTGCATACGTTTGCATACATGTGCATATTTGTGGTGGTTTTCAAGTGTTTTTGGAGTTTCTTGGAGCTGGGGAGGAGATGGAAGCAACTCATGATCAAGAAGATGTCAGAAATGGAGTTCTCGCAAAGTCTGGTCCATATCGAGCAGAACACTCGTGGAGTATGCTCGATGAAAGCAGCATGACGAGAGAAAAAGGATCAGCACGAGGATTCCAAGCCGTTGGTCTGCATCGAGGACCAGCTTCGAGGAAGGACGTCGATACGCGCTGCACGGACCATATCGAGGTCGTATATCAAGCAGAACATCGACCGTACAACCTCGATGCAACTCATCCGCGTTGACCACTTGACTTTTGTTAACCTTATCCCATTTTTTTAGGTTTTTTTATGCTTCTTTTGGCTCCCTACTATAAAAAGAAAACCACAAAACATTATCTTTATTAAGTTCTATCTTATCCAGGTTTAGCTTTCTATCAAAAACCTTCTCTAAACCTTAAAGGGCAATTTGCCTTAGGGATCTTTATCTTTAACAAAGTTTGCATTTTTATGGTTTAATCTTGTCTTTTAATCTTTGTTCTTGCATCTTGATAGATTAGATTTATCATATTTGCATTTTAGTCTCATCTAGTTATGTTTAACTCTAACTCAATGGGATTAAACATGATTAGTGAGTAGTTTACTTTAGATTTAGGGTTCTAAGTAAGGAAAGATGTGATTAAGGGGTGGTTAGGTTTGTTTAATGGTGCTCTATTATCTTCTTCTCTTGCAAAGTGATTAATGTTGATAAAGCTTGCTCCTTTTGATTGAATATGGTTTGATAGATGCATATGGTTCGCTTGATATCTTGATATCTCTTTTCTAAGCATGGTTCGCTTATTTGGCTTGATAGTCTAGCTTAGTTTATGTTTCCTATGTTCAGTGACACCAAAGTGATAGTTCACTACAGCTAGACGATTCGCTTAGGGCTAGATAATGCTGGTTTTGAGATTCTTGCTTGATGGTTAGATAGTATGCATTGAAAGATCTTGCCTTTGCTTCACTATTGTTCATTGCTTAGCTTTGTTAGGATGCTGAAAGTTTGTGCTTAAATCCATAATCTTGATTGGTGTATAGCTGCCTAGGTCCTTATTGGTTCACAAGATTGATAAGTTAATCAGAATTCTTGCTTGGGTGAGAGATTGTTTGCTTGATTGGTGCATCTCTTAGGCTAGAATGGTTCTGATCTTTATGCTCATGGTTGAAGGATACGCCATCACAAGTGGGTCTGAAACTTCGATCTTGTTTAATATGAATTTCTTATTGACGGCAAGTGGTTCCCTTTATCTACCTTGTCTAGGAGCATAACATTGAGAATTGCTTGCTTTGTTAATGCTTGTTGAATGCCTTAGTAGAAATCTCCTTGTCACTCTAGAAAATCACTATCCCACAATTGCTTGAAACCTTGAGTCTTGCTTTTAATTAATTGTCTTTAAGATCATCTTGCTTAATTTTTGTTTTAGTAGTTATTCTTGCTTAGTTCTTGTTTAGTTATTGCTTTAAGTTTATTGCTCAGTTTAGTACACTTGCATTTTCTGTTCTGCATTCCTTTCATCATTGGGTTGTTAGACTTTTTCTTGCATAATCAGATCCCCAATTTTGCTTAGCTTACAGCATTGTTTGGATCTCATCTTCCACAAATTGGATTGATACATTATCCCTATTCTACAACTGATTAAAGGCAGAACATTTGAGTTTAGACCCAAAAACTCGTGTATCAATATAATATAAACTTATAATTATTAAAGGGGAAAGTATGCATTTTTTATGCTTAAATTAGTGTTCATGTGAACAGGATTCCAAAATTTATGCAAAACATAATCTTCGAATAAAATGGGACAAATTCTTATAGATTTTTTATAATACTTATATTAAAGAATATACATTAAGAATGACAAGAAAAAAGAGTTATGAGGAAGATAGATTAATGCTAAATTAAAAGTATGCTACAATGTAAATTTTTTTTTTTTTTACAACAGCCTCATGTTCCTAGAAAGGTGTTAACCATTTTGGTGGAACTGAGTTAATATAGTATAGATGGTAAAGGTGGTATCGAGCACTTCGTGCTAGCTTATCCGCCTTTGTGTTCTGCGCCCGAGGGATCTTTGCAAGCGAGCATGAGTGGAACTCCTTCCTGGTGACTTCGTATTCCTCCATATATAGGGAAAAAGCTGGCCATAATGTTGGGGTAGACACCATCTTCAGCAACTCTGAGCTGTCCGTTAGGAATTGTACCGCCTTCCTCCCAGTATCTAGCATACAATGCATTGCCCATATTAGTGCCTCAAGCTCCGAGTACATAGGTGATAGACTCTTCCTTATTTTCCATGCATCCATTAGTATATCCAGGTTGTCGGATCCCTGACAATATCATCTTAATCCTGTATTTAAAACATCCTCTTTCCACGAGCCATCCGTGTAACATACCAAGTTCACTGTAGAGCTAGGTCTATTGTATATCAGCGGCGAGGTCTCAGTCCTTATGTCCTCTAGTTGTGCTTCATCCTAGGCTTGTGCTTCTGCAGTTGCTATCTTGACAATTTCTCGGGGATCCCGCTCTATATTGGAGAAAAGCTTCTCATTTCGTGCTACAATGTAAATTAGAGAAGCAATATTGACTATAAATATACTATTAACTTATAATTATTAAAGAGGGAAAACATGTATTTTTTATGTTTAAACTAGTGTTCAAGTGAATAGGATTCCAAAATTTATGCTAAACATAATTTTTAAATAAAAAGGGACAAAATTTTATAGATTTTTTATAATATTTATATTAAAAAATATAAATTAAGAATGACAAAAAAAAGGGTTATAAGGAAGATAGATTAATGCTAAGTTAAAACTATGCTACAATGTTATTAGTTGTTTAAAATACTGCATTTATAATGGAGCAAGGAGAAGAGTTTATGAAGAAGGCAGGTGAATGTTAAGGTAAAATCATGCTAAATTGTTATTTCAAGTTCAAAATATTTTTACTTTTTTACTTTATATCAGATATTTTCGTTTAATTAAATTGTTGGATCCGCGAACGGAAACCGGTTCACAAGGCGTCAAAGAGACGCTAAGCTTAGACTTGACGCACTTGAAAATAACGCTACCGGCCAGTTTATATATACAGTGCTCAGCCTCTTTCCACCTTTTTCATTACGTGAAAACAGAAAAGCCAACTTTTAGGCTGCAACGGTGGTGGCTTTCGAATTCCGGCGTGATTTCTCTCTCTCTTCCCTCGTCTCCGTCGATTCATTATCGTAATTCAGGTTTCATTCTTTAATTCGTATTTTAATTCGAGAAAGTACTACATCGTTTTCCCTTTTAACAGTTTCTGCCGTTTCACGCCTGAACCCTAATTTTTCCGATATCGGACGAACGAATACCGTAGCTTCCGTTCTCTATCGTTTTCGTGTATTCTCTGATATTCGAGAGGCGTAGTTTGTTTGATTGTTTAGACTATTTTCCATGGCCTGGACTGAGAGATAGATTCTCTGTGTTGAGGTTATGATTCGATCAGTGTCGGTTCGATTTTCGTTCTCGGTACTTAAGTTGATGATTTCTGGTTGTGAATCGCAGATTGTGATGGTTCCTTGTTTAATGCCGATTCATTTTTTTGAGTAATTGTGTGGTTCATGGTAGGTGTAAATTGGTGATTGTTTTGGTTTCAAATCCTTTTTATCCATTCATGAACCAATGTGATTTCGCGTGTTCATGTTTTTGAGATGGTATAATGCTTTCTTTTGTTCCAAATTTGAAGCTAGCCTTTTCCAGTTTGGTGTTTCGCTAATGTTTGCTTTAATTTGGTTCTGTTTGTTACTATTTCTGATATTTCTTGCTTTTCTGTAACAGGCTAGAGTCGTGAATATATAGAAGAAGATGTTTGGTTCTTCTAATCGTAAGTGATCATACTTTATTCTTCCTTTACTCTAGCTTTGGTAGTGCTCTGTTTACCTTTGCACGAATCTTCATTGTTCACTTAATCGAACTTGGATATTTATAGCTTTTGCTATGTGCTAACCTGACCCGCTGAATATTTCTATACAGCTTTTGGACAGTCATCTAGCAGCAGTCCTTTCGGGACCCAAACACAACCTGTGTTTGGTCAGAACAATAACGCAAGTAGTAATCCCTTTGCTCCTAAACCGTTTGGTACTTCTACTCCTTTTGGTGCACAAACGGGGAGCTCCATGTTTGGGGGTACTTCTACCGGTGTGTTTGGTGCAACTCAAACCTCCTCGCCTTTTGGTGCTTCATCACAAGGGTTTGGGAGCTCTACTCCAGCCTTTGGAGCATCTTCTGCTCCTGCATTTGGCAATTCGGCTTCACCTTTTGGTGGTAAGTTCTTCTTTGGTTCTCACTACTCTTTTAATATATCTCTTATTGTCACCTTTGCTTTTGAGGACTGACAAGTATTCTTCCTTTCCTCTTACAGGCGCTTCTACATTTGGACAGAACTCTTCTGGCTTCTCAACGCCTCAGTCAAATCCTTTTGGAAGCACCACACAGCAATCACAGCCTGCATTTGGAAACAGCACTTTTGGCTCATCTACACCTTTTGGTGCCTCTAGTACGCCTGCCTTTGGCGCATCAAGCACGCCTGCTTTTGGCACGTCACCCACTCCTGCCTTTGGCAACAATACTTTTGGTTCAAACCCTTTTGGTGCATCAAGCACACCTGCTTTTGGTGCATCAAGCACTCCTGCGTTTGGGGTATCAAACACTCTTGCTTTCGGGGCACCAAGCACTCCTTCTTTTAGTTTTGGCTCCTCCCCAGCTTTCGGACAACCTAACTCAACATTTAGCTCTACGCAATCTCCCTTTGGATCTCAAGGTTCTCTTTTAGCTAGCCTTATCCAGATACAGAATTAGATGGTTACGAATGATGCTCACATGTTTTGTTTTGCAGGTGCACAGGCTTCGTCTCAATCACCTTTTGGGGTTCAACAAGGCGGTAGTAGGGTCGTGCCTTATGCACCCACAACTGATCCAGAGACGGCCACTGGAACTCAGGCTCCTGGGAAGCTACAATCTATATCTGCCATGACTGTACACCAAAATAAAAGCCATGAGGAGCTTAGATGGGAGGACCACCAGCAAGGAGATAAAGGTCATATGCCTAGCAAAACTATTTGTCGTAAGGTTAGATGTTTGTATCTTATTTAACGAATATACTGATTTTCTTGCTGTTTAATTTTCAGGTGGACAACGTCCTGCAACTTCTCCATTTGGTGTACCGAATACCGCAAACCCTTTTAGCCAGCCAGCTGCAAATCAAACAAACGCCTTCTCAAGCTCAAATCCTTTTAGCCAGCCAGCTGCTAATCAAACAAACGCCTTCTCATCAAACCTTTTTAGCCAGACATCTTCAAATCAAACCAGCGCCTTTTCAAACCCAAACATTTTTAGTCAGCCATCTGCAAATCAAACAAACCCCTTTTCAAACCCAAGCCCTTTTAGCCAGCCATCTGCAAATCAAACAAACGCCTTTCCAAGCCCAAACGCTTTTAGCCAGCCATCTTCAAATCAACCCAACGCCTTTTCAAACCCAAACCCTTTTAGCCAGCCATCTGCAAATCAAACAAACGCCTCCTCAAGCTCAAACCTTTTCGGCCCGAAGACTCCAACATCTACACCAAACTTTACGTCAGCCTTTGCTCAACCCTCTACCTCATCCATATTTGGAACAAATTCATCAAACGCCACATCCGTTTTTGGACCAACCAGCACTCCTGGATTTACTTCAACAAGCAGGTCTGCATTTTCATTTAACAGTAGTGGAAATTTTAACAACAGTCAGTCGTCGCCACTGTTTAGCTCAAACCCTTCACCTTTCCCGACGAACAATCCAACGTTTCCCCAACCTAGCAATTTCAGTACACCATCCACTGGAATGGCGAACGTCTTTACAAGCACTCCATCCTTCAATACAAGCAGCTCTCCCTTTAGTCAAACAACGGTAACTTTCTTTCCAACTAATTTGGATGCCTGTTCTCTTCAGAGTTGATGTCTCTCTTTCACTTCCTTTTGAGCTATACAAGGATTTCTAATATTGGTTTGTTTTTGCAGCCTACCAGTTTGACAACCTACCAACCAGCTCAGCCATCTCAACCATCAGCTGCTTTTAGTTTCAACAACCAGGCTCAAACCCAGCCAGCTCAACCAGGTGCTTTTAATTTCAACATCTCGAGTCAAACCCAGCCAGGTAAATCAATCAATCAATCAAAACCATCTTGAACATTATCATCTTTAGATCCTAGAGGTTAACTCCTTTATGTTTATGTTAACTGGCTTTACAGGTGGAATGTCATCTTTTACTCAAGGCAACTCAGGGTAAGTGTGGTCTCTCTGACATCAGTGTTTCCGATATTCTTATTTTATCTTTTATATATTTTTTACTTACGGCTTCATTTTTTTTTGTGATCTTCTTTTGCAGGCCTGCGACGGCTAACACTACTGTCATGCAACCAAACCCTATTGCAAACCCATTTGGAACGCTTCCTGCTTTACCTCAGATGTCACTTGCTCAAGGTGGAAATTCACCTTCGCTTCAGTGTGGAATCTCCAGCATGCCTGTAAGTTTATAATCCCTTCTTTAACCTTTTTCTCTTACTTTTTTCCCCCAAACTTAAAGCCAAGAATCTCCATATTGTTGTTTTGACATATCTGATAAGTGATAACATTCTGTCACTGGACATTCAACTCCTCTGCATGGCATCTTGATGTTTGCCACTGCTCATATAAGCTGCTAGGGTGTTAAGACATAAACTAATGATGACTCTTTTCTTCCCAGGTCGTTGATAAACCTGCTCCTGCTAGAGTATCACCACTCTTGACCTCTCGACACCTTTTACAAAGGCATGTCAGGCTACCCGCAAGAAAATACCGTCCTGGAGATGATGGACCAAAGGTATGTTTACTGTTTTGGAATTTTGGCTTGGTCTTGAGTTCTACTTACGGTCTTTTATCTTCTGTTACTAAAAGTTCTTTCTACCTGTTTGTTCCTTAAATGCCTTTTTCAGGTCCCATTCTTCGGTGATGAACAAGAGAACTCCAATACACCAAAGGCTGATGCGTTTTTCATTCCAAGGGAAAATCCTAGAGCTTTGTTCATACGCCCAGTTGAAAAGGAGAAATCAGCACCGCCAATGAATGGCCCGAGCCCACTGCAGGAGAATGGTAAGCTTGCTTATTTACAGTAATTGGCTTCGAGTCTTTTACAATGGAAAAAATGAGCTCCAATAGTTTCTCTTAGATGAGAAGTTAACTCATAAAACGATCCAGTTGCATTATAATCTAGTTGATGAATATGATCATAGCTGATACTTTTTTTACATGTTAACTTTCAGGTAAGAGTTCAAATGGGGTTACTACTAATGGAACCAACCACGAGGGTAAGTATTTGCTTGTGTAAACAAAAACAACGATTCAAGTTTATGCTTTTTGGGAAACCATTATCTGACTTTAGTCTTAATATCTGTAGGTAATGACAAAGCTGAAACTCGTGAAGCTCCTCCTCCGGCCAAAGCCATTCAGAAACCGAATGTGACACACGAAAACCACAGAGGCGGCGACAAAAACGGTTCAAAGAGTTCAACAAGTGGAGCAGAGATCGAGTCGGTGTTGCCAAAGCTGCGTCACGCTGAGTATTTCACAGAGCCTCGGATCCAAGAGCTAGCTGCAAAGGAACGGGTCAACCCGGGTTATTGCGGGCGGGTTAAGGACTTTGTTGTCGGGAGACATGGTTACGGGAGCATAAAGTTTCTAGGAGAGACTGATGTGCGTAAGCTCGACCTAGAGATGTTGGTTCAGTTCAACAACAGGGAAGTGGTTGTGTACATGGACGAGAGCAAGAAACCTCCGGTTGGTGAAGGATTGAATAAGCCTGCGGAAGTAACTCTGCTCAACATAAAATGTATCGACAAACAGAGCGGGAAGCAAGTGAAGGAAGGACCGAGAGTGGAGAAGTACAAGGAGATGTTGAAGAGGAAAGCTGAAGAACAAGGAGCTCAGTTTTTGTCTTTTGATGCTGTGAGTGGCGAGTGGAAGTTTAAGGTCGAGCATTTCAGTTCTTACATGCTTGGCGATGAAGATGACGTGTAGAGAAGATCTGAAAGTCGTCGACTGTCTTGTTTTTTTGTTGGTTTTTGGGTTTGTCTAATACCAAAAGTCGTTATCTTTAGACTTTAACTATATATAATGTGAAAAATGATTTAGTCTTTTGCTGATCTCTCTTTTTTCAGCTTTATTAGGAATTCATTAGTTGTTCACACAAATCGGTTGTAACAAAATTAACGAAAGATTTATTAATATCAATAAAGAACCGACGAATCCAAGAGTGAGCTTCTTCACAAATCGAACCCGGTCCATAAGAAAGTCCCGGTTGTCCTACCCGACAGTAAATTGGTAAACCGGGTTCTGAGTCTCTTAACATTGAAATCTTAGATAAATGGTGTAGCACCCTGATAAAGTCATCAACTCTTCCAAAAACAAAACCAAAAGATAATCCTTTTAGTAACAGAAAATCTTAATTTTATATAATATTTAAAGGTTTTGTATAGTGAGAATTTTTCTTTTAACTGTCATGTGGCATGCATTATATTAATGCATATGTGAATACTGAAATCTACACTCAGAAATTTATGTGTATTTGTAAGAAAAGAACTTTAGAGGATAAAAGGCTAGATTCCCTCGAACAGATTGATAATATAAGCTAGCACTAACTGAAATAAGGACTTTGTATTAATCGGTCAAATAAAACGGTTACAAAGATTTCGATAGTAAAAATGAACTGAAAAGAGCTCTGGGAGCAGTTATAGTGTTTTCGTATGTAGAAAGTGTGTAAAAATATCAAGCCGAAGGTCCCCTGAACTAAGCCGGTCTCCTCCTTTATATAGCTTGCCTCGTCGAGCTTCGAGCTCCAGCGCGTATCTCGCCACGTGCAGCAGTCTCAGCCGGATATCTCGCCACGTGCAACAACATCCTCAGCAATCTTCGGACTCGTTTGAACTGGCGAGAATATGCTTTGACTTGGCTCGGATTCTTTCTCGTTTCTCAGAATTTGGTCAAGCTGGAGCTCGACCTCGTCAAATGGAGTGTCTTGTTGCTCAGGATAGGATTGTTGAAAGATGAATGGGCCTGGGCCGTAAAGTTGAAACCCAGCCTTTTTGGCTTAGTTTGGACCTGTCCGTTGGGCTTGAGTAGGCCAGATTTGGGATGCCAAATCCAGTTCCAACAATTGCCCCCCAGCCTATTAATAAGAGCGGGCTCGAGCTTTAATGGGTGGCAAGATGGGACTCTTGAAAGATTTTGTGTTTGATTACGCTAACGTCACGGAGTCAGATAATCATTCGAGATCGACGGTTTAGATCTTGGAAAGCCGAACAAATCATCGATCGTGTGGTCGAGATTCGACCTCGAGACTGCGACTTGGCGTGTTGAGGTGAAAATATCATTAACTCGTCTAGGTGGACGGTCGATATTCGAAGTAAATATTACAATTCACTTTTCTGTTTCGGTGGTCGAGCTTCCCGGGGCAAGGTGTATCTCTCGAGGAGATTCGTGCTGAGATTCGGTGACGTGGAAGGACCAGATGGAGAGAGAGAAGGTCGATCTAACGGCCTTGATTACACGGGTTTCTGCAGCGCGTCGTATCCTCGAGGTCGAATATTCGATGGTTGAGATCGAGAGATCAAACGACCAAGATCGGCGCGTGGCCAGATTCTCTGCGATCCTCGAGGTGGGCAATTATTACTTAGATATAAAGTCCACGTTCCTACTTCTTCTTTAACCGTATTAGTTCGTCGATTAAAGGTAACTCCCTCTCCCTTTCTCTTTTTATTTTCTGCAACTTCCGTTCGTCGCCTTCTCTCTTAGAAATCGCTCGCTAGGTTTTTTTTTGTTTTCTGAAAGAACTTCGATCTTCGTCCTCGAGTTTTTCTGGGTTTTAGCATCTTTATCCTCTCCCCCCTTCTTTTCTTTCTGATGTCGGACATCGTGAAAGTTGAGGGAGAAAGCTCCAGGAGGGCCGCTGTAGTCCCGGGTCCCTCTAAGATCAATGACCAACAAACTCTCGACGATTTTTATCGGAAATGCGAAATCCTCGACAGGGTGGAGCTGGCGATTCTGGCGCCGATAGAGACTCCGGCGAGGGTTGAGCCGGGCTTTTGTTGCGCTTATGCAACATACATCCGGGACTGCGGGCTTTTCTTCCCAATCCCTCGATTCATCCTCGAAGTGCTGGCGGACCTGCGGTTGGCTTTCCCGCAGATTTGCCCGAACTCGGTTCGGGCCATCATCGGATGGGCCGTGCGGGCCAAAGAGGAGAACGTTATCTTTTGCTATTCTGATTTGAGAGCGTTCTTCTCCGTCAAGTACAATGCCCGCCGTCCCGGGACTTTTTATGCGTCCCCGAGGTCAAACCGGCGGTTCATTGAGGAGAGTCCGGAGAAGGACTCTGGTTGGGAGAAAACCGGGTTGAAATTCCGGATTAACGAGGCGTTCGTTGGGGATTTCGACTTTTCCCGGCTGCCAGTCGAGTTCGCGGACAACGGTTGTTTAGCTAGGCTCGAGTGCTCGTTAGCTATGTTCGCTTTGGTATGCTCGTCAAGTTTTCTGACCCTTTGCTTGTTTTTGTCTATCAGGCCAACTGTCCAGAGCACCCAAGGATCCCGATATCAAGCACCGGCTAGAGTTGTTCACACGAGGAGAAGTTATCTGGAGCACGTTCACGCGAGAACGAGTCCGACGAGTTCTCACCTCCCCCATTCCAGCTCCAGTTTTCGCGCCCGATAAGTTTTCTTTGAACTTGTATCTCGACCTTGCTTGTTAGATCACAATATTCTGATGCAAGGTGGTTTTCTTTGTTGGCAGCCGGAGTCCTTCCTCTCCGTTCTCTCCCGCCTTCTTCTAGTTCAGCAAGCTCGAGTTTCGCAATGTCTCGCAAACCAACCTTTCGTCAAAGAGCCGGGAAAGCCCCGGCTGGTCCCAGCAGCTCCAAGGTACGCTCCGGGAGTGTCAAGGAGGCCCTTGAGGTCGTGCTGGCCACAGCTTCTACTTCTGCACCTTACCTCCGCGACGAGGAGGTTGAGCAGACGATAAACCCTCAGCCCGATCCTCCTCCCCAGATTAGTGGGGGCGATTTCTGTGGGCTCGGGCAAGACTGTACAGCTCGCTGAAGGGCAGGAGCCCGAGCACGCTTCTCAGCCTGCCTCCAAGAGGTCGAGAAACGACGGGGGAAGTCGTGCTGCTGAGCCGCGCCCGTCGGCATCTAACAGGAGTGGTGGCTCGACGGGTAGTCGGCCTTTTCACTGGAAATTTGAGCACACCAAGGATCATCTGATCACGGATGATTCTGAGGGCATGGCGGCCATGTGGCGTTATTTCAAGCCCGCTGGGTGCCAACTTCCAGCTCTCAAGAAAATGACTGAGAGGGACCTCTACGTGGAGATGGCGGCGGCCCAGGGGAAGGTACAGGAATACCTTTTGATTTGTGTAAAATTGGTTAAGTGTTGTTTATCTTAACACTTTGGTTTTCGATGTTCGCAGGCTGCGGAGGCTGGGAACCGGCTATATGCTCGTCTTGAGAAAAGGCTGCGAGACGTTCCACATCCGGACGAGATCAAGGAAATGGAGGAGGTAGTCGGAAAGCTGAAGTCCGACCTTGAGGCCGCGAATGCGCAGGTCGCTCGCCAGACTAAACTCTTTAGGCAGTTCAAGGGCCAGCAAGCTCACATCATTGACCTCGAGAACGAGTTGGTTGACAAGGGTGAGAAGTTCAAGGTTGCCACCAACCAGATCTTCGAGGCTCAAGCCGAAGCAGAGCGAGCTGAACACGAGGCTGTGATCTATAAGGAGGAGAATCTTGGTTTGGTCCGCGAGCGCGAGAACGATGTCTGCAAAGCGAACCGTGAGGTCAGGAAGGATATGTCTCAGAGGTTCATGGAGGTGGTCGAGGGCTTCAAGCTGAAGTGGGAGAGGAAGAAGGCCGAGGGCGTGGCCGAGTGCGATCTCCAGGAATGCATTGCCAATAAGGAGATGCTCGAGCAGCTCGCCGTGAAGGCCACCAATGTGGAGGAGGAGCTGGAGAGGGTGACCAAAGAAGAGGAGGACTTGGGAGTGACTTTTAAGGCTGCCCAGATCTCAGATTTCTCGATCAGCAAGCTCAATCTCCCCGTGATCTCGGAGGACTCGGTAGCTATGGACGTCGACCCGGTTTCAGGCGCGCCTGTTGGCCTTAATTAGTTTGGTATAAACGTGGAGGAAGGAGGAAGTAACGAGGCGAGGAGGGAGGATGACGACGAGAAGGCGAGTGGTTAGCTCGACGGCTGACCATGGCTCCTTTCTCTTTCCCTTCCTCTTTTTATATTTAATTTTCAAACATGGTTGCCCGACGGGGCTTTTACGCTTGTTCTGGTGCCCGGGAGGGCTTTAATCTTTTTATTTTTCGAACTTATCCATGTCCGAAAGGGCTTTTGTTTAATGCAATCGGGCTTTATGCCTTAGATTTTGTTTTTCTTTGGTCTATTGCATTTTTTGTTCGAGTAAGATATTTGCTAAGTTGTTTAATAACTTAGGGAAGCGGACTAGGATTGTCAAGCTCGAGGCTTAGGTCACTAGTCATGAGTTCGATGCTCGAGCTGATAGGTTCGAGTTCATTGTTCAATTTATCGGACTTAGATAAAATGATTAGGTCGCGATGGGCGATCTGTTTATTCTGAGAAAAATGGCTAAGTTTTTTAGCTCGATTTTTCTTTAGTTTTTAAAATATGGATCGAACTGCTTCATGGTGAAGTTTCGGTGTTCGAGGTGGAGTTTGCTTTCTTTTGAGCTAGGGATTTCCTAGTTTTGGCTTTGAGATGGAGAAGGGGGTTCGATTTTGTTCTGAGCTCCAAACATAGGGCTCAGTCATCCCTATCGAATTGCGAGCTGTGTTGGGCTCATCGATTTGAGGTCCGGAGCTCCGGCTAAGGTTGAAGTTGAATTGTAAATTTGGCCGCACCTGTGAAGTGGAGTGGGACTCCGAACTTAGTTGCTTTGCGAAATGAGAAGTGTGTACCTTGTGCTACTGGGGAAGGCAGCTAGGATAGGTGGCTCCCCCTCCCCCCGAAGGAGTGAGGTACGTGCGTACTGTAGCCCGCTTATGTTGAGGTGTGGGAGGTTGGGAGTGCTTGGGCTTCGAGGTCGATGAAATAGGACTTTAACACCCCCCCCCCTCCGAACGAGTGAGCGATGCGTGAACTAGAGCTTGCTTGAACGAGGTGTGGGTGGGCGGGCTATGTTTTGATCTCGAAGACGAGTTGTGGAGCTCGGTTTTGTTTTAATGTTTTTCAGCTTATAGATG